CATGATAGGCAAGAATGACGGAAGTTATTGTTAGATATTAATAAAATTGGTTTGAATAAAATGGCAGGGATATTGTGGTCGATTGAATATGCCATAATAATCAGGGCAAAATTATACTATAAAGAGATAATGTAAATTTAACGTAATAGTGTTATTATCATTATGTAGACGACCCGGGAACCAATTTGGTAATTGAGAACCAACTCATGCGTATTTCAAAAAAATTAACATTGGGTCAACTTTAATTTTGTAGTGTTAGAAAATAGTACTAAATAAGGTAAGGAGAGGGAACATTTAATTCCTTCTACCGTTTTTTTGCTTCATTAAATGTTTTTCAAATGCTTTTTTCAGAGCTTTTTTGACGTTTTTAAGTGTTTTTTTGTGGATTTTAAAAGCAATAAGTTCCGAGCTCTAAATTAATAAGTGATGTATAAATCGGTGGCCGCGTTGTTATATCCTCGCTTTGAAAGGAGGCGTGGGCGAATTCCGGGGGTCACTCCCTAATCCTGCGTCTTTACATCCTTCTATGCAGTTTATTCTCTCCGCGGTACGGAGAATTCTACGAGAATTTCAGCGTTTCGTTTGAAATATTTTCCGCTACCCCACTGCGCATCCGACGACTTTCGAGCACGCTACTGATAAAATTTTCCTAACCCTCTCTCCACCCCGCTATTCGACAGTTTACGCGCAGAAGGTATTTCGTAAATTGTTCGTTATAACATGGCAAAATTGATGCCAAGAAAACTTCGACAACAAATTACGGTTGAAAAAAAAATGACGAAACGCCAACGGTAGAAGTGGGGGTAAAATCCTGCAACCCGGAAATTATTTTCGNCCACAAATGTTCGGTATACGATCCTCCTGCCGCCCGGAAATTATTTTCGAGTTACGCCTATGGGAGGGCTGCTTGAGTCGGTGGTAATGCGAAATGCGCGTGTATTATCGATCGATCTATGGTAATGGTATCATAATTTATAAGTGGCACAATATTAAAATAAGAACAGCGCGGTTCACTACGTTACGACACGGTTTGTTGTATCACCGTGGTATTTAAAACAGCTAAAAAATAAACAATATCTTTTCGAGTCGTTCTTGTGTGTATTGACTATTAGTCATTGTGCGTTTAGATCCCGGTGTGTGCAGAAGTCTACATACTTTCAAAAATTTATTCTAAGTATACGAATTTCTGTACCTTTTAACAAGACCGCGCACATCATGGAAACACGTAATGAAAATACATTGAACACCGAGGATGCTGACTCGAGGATTTCTCTGTCGCCGCGAGCGGAACGGCCCGACATCAATGAACCACAGCAACAACAGAGGTCGTCTATGAACGTAAACAGACGCACGATAAAACGACATAACAGACCAAAGAGAGTTTCCAATCACGAATACAACGTTCTCTGTCGTTACTGTTTACTTATTTAGCTCGAAGTGCTAGAGTGACAGTAATGCCATCGTAGATAATACATAAAGTATAGTAAATTCCACACGAAATCACAAGCTCAAAGATCACCGGGGTTACACTACTAATCTATTTGTTTACTTTCGTTATCTTTCATTTTTAATGATTATACCATAGTATCATGGTATGCAAAAATGACGGAAGAATGATAGAAGGACGAAAATCTCATGATATTGTTTTATAAGGAAAATAATTGCAAAAAGCACAACATTTTTAGATATTAATAAAATTGGTTTGGGAAAATGGCAGGGTCGATTTTTTTGTTATTTTAGTCGATTGAATATGCGATTATAATTAGGGCAAAAAAATACTAAAAAAAGATAATGTAANGAGGTTACACTACTAATCTATTTGTTTACTTTCGTTATCTTTCATTATTAATGATAATACCATAGTATCATGGTATGCAAAAATGACGGAAGAATAATAGAAGGACGAAAATCTCATGATATAGTTTTAATTAGGAAAAACATTGCAAAAAACACAACATTTTTAGATATTAATAAAATTGGTTTGAGTAATATGGCAGGCATATTGTGGTCGATTGAATATGCGATTATAATTATGGCAAAAAAATACTAAAAAAAGATAATGTAAATTTAACGTAATAGTGTTATTATCATTATGTGTGCTCATCGGGACCTATTCGTATTTTACTTGTAGACGACCCGGAAACAACACCAAATGGGAATGCCAATGGACGCCAATGGAAGAAGTGGGGGGGAGCAATCAACCACTGATATTAGATAATACCATTATAATCATACAATATAAATTTGTTATTAATTTGTGTAGCTACTCGGAATATCGCAATATTCTTACGGTACACGAAAATTTCGAATTTGCCGGATACCATAAAATGTTACAAGTAGTATAAAAAGGGGGCTTCTAACTCAGGATCAGGAACATAACATAAATTTCTTTACCTTTTACACTAATTATTTTCAACTTATTCGTTAAATTCGAGTATGAAATTTATTTTTGTCAATAGTTATTTTCATAAACTATCGTCCAATTATATTAGACTATATATAGACTAAATAAATTCTCTTAGGCCATAGTAAAACGTCGATCTAAGTATATCATCGAAACGACAATAACGTATAACACATTTTTTTCAAAAAATCAAATATTTGAAAATTTACGTAATTTTTTAAAAATTTCTATTGAGAAACCATATTAACTAGACAACCCAAGTAGATGCAAAACGATGTGTTCTCGTTGAATAAACAATTATAATAGTTATTATTATAAGGTATAGTGGTTTAGATGTTTTAATAAGTATTTATATAATGATACTGATTAAAATATGTATAAATAACGAGACAATAATCGACATAAATGACATAATGCGATCGTTAAACTAAAATACATCGCGTTTAAGAAGTCATATATAAATTTATAATATTATTTTATTTGAACGTATAAACAAAAAACTTAGTATACAATTGTTAACAATAAAAAAAAAATTGGTTTTCCGGAAAACAAGAGAAAATATAAGTACAGAGTGTTCCATCTAAACGGGCACACTCACTATTTCGGAAAGTATTAACCATCTTCAGAATTTGCTTGATAGACCACTTAAGAAACAAACGGCTCTCCAATTTGAAATCCATGTTATTTTTTGACACCTCTATTTTTGGGGATAAAACCATTACCTACTATAGATTTTCAAATAGCACCTATATTATTGATCCAAATATTTTTATATAGGCCACTATCTGAAAATTAAAAGTAAATAGTGGCTTTACCCTCAAGAATAAAGGTGACGAAAAATAACATAAAAGTAAAATTGTAAAACCGCTTGTTCCTTAAATGTTCTACAAAACAAATTCCGAAAAAAGTTGATACTTTCCGAGATAATGAATGCACCGACTTAAAAAGAACACCCTGACTTAATGACTTAAGGTCATTTAATAACAATAAAAAAAAAAAATTATAATTGTACAAATTCAAATATTAAAAATAACAGAAAATCTTAATGAAGGCGATTACGGCGGTTTTTTAGTTTTGCTATCATCCGCTCAGAGAAGTAAACGGGGCCTTTTCTGCGTATGACATTCATTAGTTTGTTTTTGGTTACCGTCACCAATAGTTCCACGGTTTCGGTGTCCATGAACGGAGTAGGAGATGTGATCGCGTACAACGCTTCGGTGTTATGAAACCCGACATTCCGGGCCGTCATCACTTTTTCCGACCGAGAACGTTGCATTCGCGACTGGGAGACTTTCTTCGGTCTATTTTTTCGTTTAATCGTGCGTCTGGCAACGTTCATGAACGACGTCTGTTGTTGGTTTTGTTCACTGATGTCGGGCCGTTCCGCTCGCGGCGAGAGAGACCTCTCCGAGTCAGCATCCTCAGTGTTCAATGTATTTCCATTAGGGGTTTTCATGATGTGCGCGGTCTCGTTAGAATTCGTATACTAAGAATAAATTTTTTGAAAGTATGTAGACTTCTGCACACACCGGAATCTAAACGCACAATGACTAATAGTCAATACACACAAGAACGACTCGAATAGATATTGTTTATTTTTCAGCTGTTTTAAATACCAAGGTGATACAACAAACCGTGTCGTACCGTAGTGAACCGTGCTTTCCTTATTTTAATATTGTGCCACTTATAAATTATGAAATTATAACCATAGATCGATCGATAATACACGCGCATTTCGCATTACCACCGACTCAAGCAGCCCTCCCGTAGCCGTAACCCGAAAATAGTTTCCGGGCGGCAGGAGGATCGTATACCGAACATTTGTGGTGTTCTAATTTTATTGTCTAAAATAATTATTTTTCCGCAACATATAATGTATTACTAAATATTTTTCAGGAGGGGGGGGGGGGTTGGGGTTAGAACCTTGAAACACTCCCTCTCCTCAGATACACCCTTGAGACAACCGGACCAGGGAGATATATCTTTCTGACTCGTTTAAAATTTCCACTCAAACAATTATTTCAATCAACTTGACATCTATTTAAGACATTTTTAATGTAGGTTGTCATTTAAAAATCCAATCCGGGTAATGGTTTCACCCCCCTAAAAAATAAGATTAACAAAACGTATCGGTATTGTAACATTTTACGGTATCAGGCAAATCCAAAATTTGGAATCAACGAATAATATCTTAAAGTTGCGCCGTGAAAATTGGTGATTGAAATTTCATCAAAAAGCAACTTATATAGCAATATGTAATGGAATACAAATTCAATATCATAGTAAAAATCAGAAAATAAATCAGACTTTCAATAAATATTTCAATGATTATTTTGTACAACTTTGGGAAAAGATAGGAATAAAGAAAAATATATTTCAAATATAAAAGTTGAACTGTTGTATCAAGTGGTTGATAGGTATTTATTACATAACTAATTACTAATTTCATTTAATTAATTCATAAAAGTATGTGTTATTTTTTAGGATTGTAGCACGGTTAGACGGACGTTTTTCAAAAAGTGAACAAATTTTTGACATATTTAATGTATTTGGTTATACAAATGGTTACTTTTTTCAGGCAGAATGTACTGCTATTAATGAATTCTTAGACCAATATAAAAGTTCTCCAATTAATTCTTTAAGAGTACATTATACCCGCATCTATTGTCTCAGTTCAACTGCTGGGTAATATGCAAAAACAATGTTTACGCAGAATAAGTAAAACCGGCTAAATTTTGATTTTGAGGGAAAAGAGCCTATTATGAAATTCATAGAGAACNGGTTGTCAGACCGTTTGGTGGATTTTTATACCAGGTTATAATTTAGGTATTTTATTCCCCGATAGGTACGAAACGTAAGAACATTGAAACTGCCGTAAAGGTGAAGAAAATTAGGATGGGTTTAGTTAACGCCTCCGGATTTACCGAATTTACCGAACTCCGATTTATGCGGTGGCTAAAAAAGCGATGAAAAGTAAAATAGGTGAAAATAATTTATCTAAATTAATGAGTACGTGTTCGGTGGCGGTGAAAAAAATTAAAAACGCCCAGAATTATACATATTCCGAAAAAAGGTTGCGTGTTACCGTTAATACATATCTTTGCTGGTTTATCGGCGTTGGGTGCACTCACCGGTGGTGTTGCTAATGTAGTAAAAGTGAAAAACGACTTGAAAGAGGATAGATATTCGCCATAGTTTTTCTCCGTTCGCTAAACACGATTTAAAACATGGACGATATGTATTTAGACGTGACTAGTGGATATGTCGATGATTGTAGAATAACCGACATCGAATATAATTCATATTAACCATACTCGTGTACAGCTTTATCTAATAACGACGAGGTATGCATTCCCCTGCATAACACGAAATCGTATACTCTACAGTGTGAAAGTTATATTTACATAGAAGGAACGATAACCAAACCCACAGGTGTCACCGAGAATGTTAGTATTATAAACAACGGACTAGCATTTCTTTTCTCAGAAATGAAATATGAAGTGAACGGTATTCAAATTCAAAAAATCGTTAACCCCGGCATAGCTACAATATTGAAACGATATTGTTCGTATACCAAATCGGATATTACTTCACGTCAGAACGCCGCTTGATCGCATGAACGCGATCAAGTTTACCAAGCCTGACACCTCTAAATTGAGCGAAAAAGAAGTAAATATTACGAAAATATTATGGAGAATGCCTATAGTACGAGTAGGCGATAAAGAAAAAATTAGGTTGATGAAAGTAATGAACAGTCATAAACCTATCACGTGCGCGTTTAGATCGTGGGAGTTTTGTGAGAATTCGTATTTGCCTCAGAACAAAACACATTCATGGAAAGTGAAGACGACAAATAAGTTAGAAAAACCGTTAGTTAGTCAACACTTTCGGCGAAAACAGACGAGAAAAATATGTGGTGTGGAGTAGCTCGGAGACGCAGGCGTATAACTTGGTGGAGACAGCGGTGAATAGGTTTGGTAGCTAGACGATGTTTCTCGCGATGAGTTAACCTAAAATATTTTTTTATATTAATATAATATACAAATAATAAGGTATTATATTTAACTTACGTTACTCGGTATAGGATTCATAGAAATCGGAATCGGAATGTTGTCGACTCTCCGTATAATTTCACGTTCTAAATCTAGTAATCACATCAGATCTCCGTGGTTCAGCAATACACGACAGCGGCTTTGTGATTTACACTCCATTACGAGTTCTGTCCATTATAAACTATACTCGAGAAAGAAGTGTCCTCAGTAGAAAGAAAAATATTCCTTTTATATTTCGGTGGATCGAACAGGAACGAAAGGATATGGCCCATGATTGAAAAAAATCATTGAAAAAGACCGACGGTGATGAGTATGTGTCTTGCAGGTGTAATTATTAGGACAATTTTGTTTTGTGCACGATCGGATCCTGATCCTGATCCTGAGATAGAAGCCCGCTTTCTATATTACTGATACATTACCGAAAGGTTTTGTAAATCTTATTTTTTGGGAGGTGAAACGAATACCCGGATTTGATTTTTAAATGACAGCATACATTAAAAATGTCTTAAATAGATGTCAGATCGGTTGAAATAATTGTTTGAGTGGAAACATTAAATGAGTTAGAAAGATGTAACTCCCTGGTCCGGTGGTCTCAAGGCTGTATCAGTGGAGAGAGAGTGTTTCAAGGTTCTAACCCCAACCCCTCCTGAAAAATATTTAGTAACACATTACATATTGCGGAAAAATAATTATTTTAGACAATAAAATTAGAAAACCACAAATGTTCGGTATACGATCCTCCTGCCGCC